AGTCTCACTCTGTCACCCAGGCTGGAGTGCGGTGGTGTGATCTCAGCTCACTGCAATCTCAGTTCCCTGGGCTCAATCAATTCTCCTGCCTCAGCCTCCTGAGTAGCTAGGATTAGAAGCATGCACCACCATACCCAACTAATTTTTGTATTTTTAGTAGACACAGGGTTTCACCATGTTGGCCAGGCTGGTCTCAAACTCCTGACCTCAGGTGATCTGCCCACCTCGGCCTCCCAGTATGCTGGGATTATAGGTGTGAGCCACTGCACCCAGCTGGGAGCTTTTAACTTCTCTGAATTTTACTATCCACAACAAAATGGGCAGAATAATACCTACCTCACAGGCAAGTTATGAGGGTTAATTGCAACAGGACTTCAAAGAGTGGGCATATAGTAAATGATTACTACATTTCGACGGGCTTTTTTTTTTTTTTTTTTTTTTTTGAGACGGAGTCTAACTCTGTTAGGCTGAGTGCAGTGGCATGATCTCGGCTTACCGCAACCTCCGCCTCCTGGGTTCAAGCGATTCTCCTGCCTCAGCCTCCCAAGTAGCTGGGAATGCAGGCGGGTGTAACCACGCCCAGCTAATTTTTATAGTTTTAGTAGAGACAGGGTTTCACCATGTTGGCCAGGATGGTCTCCATCTCTTGACCTCGTGATCTGCCCACCATGGCCTCCCAAAGTGCTGGGATTACAGGCGTGAGCCACCCCACCTGGCCTCAACTGGCTTCATAATATAATTTTTACTAGGGAAGGAATCCATGGTCGCATAAGCTTGGCAAATGTTGATTCAACAAAGCTAAAACGACTTCTTTGCTGTAGGACTTCTTAGAGATTTTTTTGAGACAGGGTCTCTCTCTGTCACCCAGGCTGGAGTACAGTGGTGCAGTCTTGGCTCCTGGCAGCCTCCATGTCCCAGGCTCAAGGGTCCCTCCTGCCTCAGCTTCCCAAGTAGCTGGGACTACAGGTGCACATCGCCACGCCTGGCTAATTTTTGTATTGTTTTGTAGAGACGGGGTTTCACCATGTTGCCCAAGCTGGTCTCGAACTCCTGGTCTCAGGTGATCTGCATGCCTCAGCCTCACAAAGTGCTGGGATTACAGGCATGAGCCATCATGTCCAGCCCTTTTTAGAGTCTTTAATGTGCTGTTATACCTTGGGAAGTTCCCAGAGTGGGATATGGAGCACAGGACTAGACTTATCAGATCACAAGGACCCAGGAGCTGGGTGTCCCCAGGGCACATCCATCATCTTAATTCCCTGGTTTTTGCCGCCATAGTGGACTAGAAACCTTGCTGGTGGGAGGACTCTTGGGGACTCTTCCAGTGTCTGGGCTCTGCTTTCCTAAGTGTGAAACAAGAGAGCCCCACGAGGTGCTTCCAGAGGTCTCTTTTGGCCCTCCAAGTTTCTGAGTTGGGAAGACAAAATTGTGGACAAGAGTAGGGGCCAGATTGTTGAGGTTGAAGCCCAGTCTCTTGGGGAGATGCAGAAATCCAGTACTGGCTCCCCAACCAGCAAGGCTGGCCAGGGCTTCCTTGTGCTCTGGATGGAAGTGGCCCCATGAATTAGTGTAGCAGCAATGTCTGCTTCCTAAATCTGCCCTGTGCCAGACTTGCTGGGGAATAGAAGCATCCTGCACAACCCTGTTGTCCTAAGTAGCAGCCTCTGTGAGGCAGTGTCACGACTCCTGTTTCCCCACTGGACTAGGAAAAGGCTGGGGAGCAGGGATGATGCCAGAATCCTAATGCACCAGGAGCTTAGGGATGCAAATCAGACTCGGGAGATGTGGTCTTGGGGGATGGGGTTGTCTTGATGCTACCCTTGCATAGCAAGCACCGTGCATTTACTTGGACGGTGTGTGACTTATTTGAGTGGGCTCAGGGGTGATCACAGTGCCGCTGGTGGCAGGGAACATGAATGCTTTATCCTGCCTGAATCTCTTTTCCTTGTCCGGTGACTGGTGCAAAGGTAGTCACAATAGATATCTGATGAACAAATGAGTCCAACAAATAAAACACCTGAACACTGAGTCCAATAAATAAGCTTGGAGGGAATTTATTTGGCAGGCAGGGAGAGATTGTCTGGCAGGTTTTCAATAAATATTTGAGTTAATGAATGACTCAATGAATGATGGTAAGCCTGAATTAGAGAATTGGTGCCAGGTAAAACAGCATATAATTATGGAATGATAAGTAGCCCTTGCCACCTTGTATTGCAAAGTACAGTTGACGGTAGTGGTTAAGAGCACAGTGGCTCACACCTGTAATCCCAGCACTTTGGGAGGCCGAGTGGATCGCTTGAGGCCAGGAGTTCAAGACCAGCCTGGGCAGCAAAGTGAGACCCTGACTCTATAATAAAGTAATAATAAATTTTAAAAATCAGCTGGGCATGGTAACATGTACCTGTAGCTCCAGCCACTTGGGAGGCAGATAGGAAGATTGCTTGAGCCCATGAGGTCAAGGTTGCAGTGAGCTGTGATTATACCACTGTACTCCAGCCTGGGGGACAGAGCAAGACTCCATCTAAAAACAAAACAAGGCTGGGCTCATGCCTGTAATCCCAGCACTTTGGGAAGCTGAGGCGTGTGGATCACCCAAAGTCAGGAGTTCAAGACCAGCCTGGTCAATGTGGTGAAACCCCATCTCTACTAAAACAAAAATTAGCCAGGTGTGGTGGCAGGCGCCTGTAATCCCAGCTACTGAGGAAGAGACAAGAGAATTGCGTGAATCCAGGAGGTGGAGGTTGCAGTGAGCCGAGATTGTGCCATTGCACTTCAGCCTGGGTGATGAGAGCAAAACTCCACCTCAAAAACAAACAAAAACAAAAAAAACAGATGCGTTCAGAGCGTGCCTCTGCCATCTGCTACTTCCTGGGTAGGTGGGTGGGCAAGTCACTTAAGTTCTCTGTGCCTCAGTTTCCTTATCCGGAAAATGGGAATAATGATTGTCTGCCTCTCAGGGTTGTTGGGAAGCTTCTCGCAGGTGCTGTGTAAGCATTTGCTGTGATTTGTTTTTGTTTCTATATCTTCTGCCAGATGATGACATTCCTGAGGGCAGGGATCAAATCTTCCACTCTTTTCCTTGTCCCATCCAGCACAGGATCTGCAGCAAAGAAGGGCTTAGTAAGTGTTTGCTAAATGAATGAGTCAAAGTTAAACTGTGTAACTCATTATAGGTCAGGGGAGAGTGGGGTTGGGGGAGCAGTAAGGAGGCCCCGGAGGTGGCAGCTTGTACTGGCCTTAAAGGAATTCAGTGCAGGGAAAGGAAGGTGGCACAGAGTGTGACACTGGGGTTAGGTGGGAAATAAGGGTAGTTGGAGCAGGTTATGTGGGCCTTGAATGCCAGGGTCAGGGGTTCTATTAGATTTATTTGGAATTAGCAATCATGGGCAGTTGGGGTAGGGGCTGGAGAAGGGACTTTGAGAGTGGGGGTATGGTTCATCAGTTGTTAAATGGGGACTTTCAGGAAAAAAGCGGTCTTTTGAGTTGGGCCTGGAAGGGTCGAAGTGTTATTAGAATGGTGTCATGTTGTTCTTTCACTCAGTTTCATGTTGTTCAAACATTGAGTGCCAGCTACTTGCTAAGCACCAGAGATTCACTAAATAATGAGACAAACTGCCTACCCTTGATGAGCTCACCTGAACAATCATGAGAAGTGTTGTAATCAGACAATCAAATGATGGTCTGATAGGCACTCAAGTGGAGGGGTCATCATAGGAGGTTCAGGAGACTAGGGAAAGCATTATAGAAGAAATGTGTTTTTATGTATTTATTTATTATTTTTTAAGACAGGGTTCCACCATGTTGGTCAGGCTGGTCTTGAACTCCCGACCTCAGGTGATCCACCTGCCTTGGCCTCCAAAGTGCTTGGATTACAAGCGTGAGCCACCATGCCTGGCCTGTTTGTGTTTTTAAGAGACAGGATCTCCCTCGAGATCAGGCTTGAGTGCAGTAGTGTGATCATAGTTCACTTGTACGTTGAATTCCTGGGCTCAAGTGATCCTCCTGCCTCAGCCTCCCCAACAGCTAGGACTGCAGGCACATGACACCATACCTGGCTAACTTTTTTGTAGAGATAATAGCTCACTATGTTGCCCAGGCTGGTCTTGAACTCCTGGCCTCAAGCAATCCTCCTGCTTTGGCCTCTCAAAGCTCTCGGATTACAGGAGTGAGGCCTCATGCATAGCCAAGAAATGAGCTTTTGAGGGATGAACAGGGGTTTGCCGTGGTAGGAAGATGAGGAAAATGTCTCAGGCAGAGGGAACAGCTTGTGCAAAGCTACAGACATGTGAAAGAGCAGTCCAGGGGTTGGTGGGGCTGGGACTGGATTTGAAGTGCCCTGTGGTTGCGCCAGAAAACTGGAGAAGGTAACAGGGACCAGGTCATGCTGGATAATAGAGGGTCAGTAGGGGCAAATGACCTAAATGGAGGGTCATTTAGGTCATGCTGGGTAATAGAGGGTCAGTAGGGGCAAATGACCTAAATGGAGGGTGATTTAGGTCATGCCGCGTAATGGAGGGTCAGTAGCCACTCTCAAGGAGCTAGATAGGCAGTGGGTCTGTTAGCAAGGTCATTCTTGCCATCAGATGAACACTAATGGTGGCATGAACACAGGGGCTCAAAGAGCCTGACCCCTCCCCTGTGTTTCACATGGCCAGATCTGTTCTTTAGGAGAGCAAACAGTTAGTGCCGCTGGATATAGCCTGGACTGAAAAGAAAATTAACGAGGCAGGGAGCCTTATTAATTAATACATTCCTCAAACATTTATTGAGCACCTACTATGTGTCAGACACAGTTCTGGGTACCTGGGATACATCAGGGATCCTTGTTCTCATGACATCAGAGATGAGGAATTCCATAGGATGAGTCTTCTGTTCTTAAACCCAGTGTAAGGATAAAGGTATCAGGGAGGAGGGAGTAAGATCTGGGCATCAGAGTCCCAGCTGCTGCTCGTGGGGGTGAGGACACCAGGCACCTGACTTTGCTCTGGCCTCTCTCCCAGCTCCCTGCCCAGGCCCACAGCCATGGCCATGGCTATGGCCCAGAAGCTCAGCCACCTCCTGCCCAGTCTGCGGCAGGTCATCCAGGAGCCTCAGCCATCTCTGCAACCAGAGCCTGTCTTCACAGTGAACCAGGCCGAAGTGCCGCCACTCTTCTGGAAGCCATATATCTACGTGGGTTACCGGCCGCTGCATCGGACCTGGCGCTTCTACTTCCGTACGCTGTTCCAGCAGCACAACGAGGCTGTGAATGTCTGGACCCACCTGCTGGCGGCCCTGATGCTGCTGTTTCGGCTGGTCCTCTTTGTGGGGACCGTGGACTTCTGGGGAGACCCACACGCCCTGCCCCTCTTCATCATTGTCCTCGCCTCTTTCACCTACCTCTCCTTCAGTGCCTTGGCTCACCTCCTGCAGGCCAAGTCCGAGTTCTGGCATTACAGCTTCTTCTTCCTGGACTATGTGGGGGTGGCCGTGTACCAGTTTGGCAGCGCCTTGGCACACTTCTACTATGCTATCGAGCCCGCCTGGCATGCCCGGGTACAGGCTGTTTTTCTGCCCATGGCTGCCTTTCTCGCCTGGCTTTCCTGCACTGGCTCCTGCTATAACAAGTACATCCAGAAACCAGGCCTGCTGGGCCGCATATACCAGGAGGTGCCCTCAGTCCTGGCCTACGCACTGGACATCAGTCCTGTGGTGCATCGTATCTTGGTGTCCTCCGACCCTGCCACGGATGACCCAGCTCTTCTCTACCACAAGTGCCAGGTGGTCTTCTTTCTGCTGGCTGCTGCTTTCTTCTCTACCTTCATGCCCGAGCGCTGGTTCCCTGGCAGCTGCCATGTCTTTGGGCAGGGCCACCAACTTTTCCACATCTTCTTGGTACTGTGCACGTTGGCTCAGCTGGAGGCTGTGGCACTGGACTATCAGGCCCGACGGCCCATCTATGAGCCTCTGCACATGCACTGGCCTCACAACTTCTGTGGCCTCTTTCTGCTCACGGTGGGCAGCAGTGTCCTCACCGCATTCCTCCTGAGCCAGCTGGTACAGCGCAAACTTGATCAGAAGACCAAGTGAAGGGGGGTGGCATCTGGTAGGGGGGGAGGTAGAGTGGGGGTACAGGGGTCTGCACTTGGCTCCAGGTGGAAACAAGTCCTGGTAAAGTTGTTTGTGTCTAGCGCACGGTGACTCTATGCATGACTCAATTGCCAAGGGTGTCACTGACCAATTCTTGGATTTAGGGATTGGCTGGGAGCTGCTAGTGTCCACTCCTGGGCCTGCCCAGCTCCTTGTCCTGGGAGAAGGGAAGAGTTAAAAGTGTGGGCCACTCCAGGTTGCCCCTCCACTGCCACTCACTCAGATTACTTAGTGAGGATTGGGGCTTCTAGATTGTCTGGGCAGGAGGTAAAACTTAGGCCAGAGTCAGATTTGAGCTGAGGCAGGGGAGGCCTTGGCAACCCACCTCTACTCAGATTTCATTGCTGGATGCAGACGGGGCAGGCCCAAAATAGATGCAGGATCTTACTGCCCCTTGAAGCCCAGCTACAGGTGTTGGAGCTGCAGAGAGACCCCAAGGTAGTAGATTGTGCCAGATACAAATGGGTCCCTCCAGTGCTTATACCCCTTCAGTCACCATCCCAGACAGTGAGTCCCAGATCTTCTAACTCTGGCTTCTGTGTCCTACACAGCCTGTTCCCAGCTTCTCTCCTAGTTCCATTTATCCATTTGGTGTTTCCTGGGCCTCTGCTTAGAGGCAGGTGACTGCTGGACCATGTGGATCAATGCAAGATGACAAAGCCTTTTTTTTTTTTTTTTTTTTGAGATGGAATTTCCCTCTTGTTGCACAGGCTGGAGTGCAATGGTGCAATCTCGGCTCACAGAATTTCCACCTTCTAGGTTCAAGTGATTCTCCCCCCTGAGTCTCCTGAGTAGCTGGGATTACAGGCATGCGTCACCACCCCCAGCTAATTTTTTGTATTTTTAGTAGAGATGGGCTTTCTCCATGTTGGTCAGGCTGGTCTCAGACTCCTGACCTCAGGTGATCTGACTGCCTAGGCCTCTCAAAGTGCTGGGATTACAGGCGTGAGCCACCGCACCCGGCAGACAAAGGCTTTGATATCAGAATGAACTGTCAAGGGAAGCGCTGAGGAAGAATAACCAGACCTCAGGGTCTTGGGTTGGGGAGTGCGAATAGGAGTTTGCAGATGGAGAACAGGAGGGCATTCCAGGCAGAGGGAGACCTGTGCAGAGACCCAGAGGTGTGGAAGGAAAAGTGGGGCTGGGGCTTAGGTGGTCTGGATTATGGCCTAGATGCAATAAAGTGACTGTGACAGTAGCTGCCTCTTTGTTTTCTGTCTCCGGTTTCAGGGAGGGGTCCCTGCTCACACTACTGGAGGAGCTTTTCCGGAGGAAGCTGGGGCCCCTGGGAGTGGACACAGGGTGGAGGGAGCAGTTCTTGTTTATCTTTGCTGGGGGATGGGATTGGGGCCTTAGATATCATATCTATATATACAGATTTGTTTGGCAAGAAAGTAGGGGGCAGTTTTATTACTAAAGTTTTATAAGCAGTTAATGTGTTTAAAATATACGTAATCCTACTTTATAATCTGACAAAGATTTTTTTTTTTGTTTGTTTTTTCTTTCAATTAAGGAGGGTTTTTTGTTTGTTTGCTTTTTAGTGGAGGGGACAAGGGTGTGCACACTCCATCACACATATTGAGGCCCCTCGCATGCACTCCAAAGGAGTATTTTATGTTAACTCTTCTAATACTGCTTTTTCCGTAGTACACAGCAGTATATATACAATGAAGGAAAATTAGGAAGATAAGAAGAAAACCCACATTAATTAGAAATACCATTTCACTGCTAAAATATCGTGGATGACCTTGTAAGACATACACACATGTAAAATATGTGTATATAAATAAATATTTTGATATAGGCCGGGTGTGGTGGCTTACGCCTATAATCCCAGCACTTTGGGAGTCTGAGGCAGGTGGATCACTTGAGGGCAGGAGTTTGAGACCAGCCTGACCAACATGGCAAAAACCCATTTCTACTAAAAATACAAAAACTAGCTGGGCATGGTGGCACACACCTGTAGTCCCAGCTACTTGGGAGGCTGAGGTGGGAGGATCTTGTGAGCCTACGAGGCTGAGGCTGCAGTGAGCTGAGATTGTGCCACTGTTACTCCAGCCTGGGTGACAGAGCGAGAGGCTCTGTCCACCGTGAAGACAGGCTCTGGCTGCAGAGATGGCGCAGGCTCCTGGCCGATCTGAGGTGGACTGGGCAGGAGGTGGCTGAGTTTCTGACCCTTTCAAAAAAAAATTAAAGATGTTTTTCATATATTCAAATATACTACATGTAAAAATTACATATAATATACACATATTTCATCTATGGAGATTGTGGTTAGGAACGGAAGGATGGGTGAGGTGCCAGCATTTTTGCATTTCCACGGGGTTTTCTAAATTCACAAAGTACTTGCACAAACTTCATTTGATCCCTCTTTAAAATCCGGCACAGTAAACGGTGAAAGCAGGACTGAAAGCCTCTTGACCCCAAAATGTAACTTCTTCAAAATCCTCTTCCATGTGGCCTCGTAGTTACGCTTACATTAAAAAAAAAAAAAAATTACCGAAGTGGTTCGTACCCTCGAGTGTCGGTAACCATTTAGGTCGAGGACTCCCGGTGTGGGGTCGTCGGGCGCCATCTCCGCTCCGCAGCTTCCTTCTTGGGGTGATGGCAAAGATTCAGGGATGACACGAGCAAAGTCCTAAACCCGGGGTAGTTATTATATTTACTGTAAGAAATTTTCAATGCAGCAAAAAGAAAATGCACATTTCTGAGGCTGTTGAGAACCGTTCATACAGCAGCTTCCGGAATCCGGTCTTGAATGAGCAGATCAGAAAGAACGCACACTCCTTTGCGCAGGGAAAGACACAGCACTCACTCTAGCACCCGCAGCGAAAGTTAGCGGTGGGCGGGGCAAAGAGAAGGGGGCGGGACCTTGTCGGGGCGGGGCTAGCGCCCGGGGCGGCAGCGGCGTAGTCCCGCCCCCAGCGTTGGCGCGAGATCCGAACGTCTGCGGCAGCGGTTCCGTCGTTCCCTGAGTCCGCGCCGGTGTCCTGCGGGCTTACTCTCCTCAGCGACCATGAGGCGGACGGGCCCCGAAGAGGATGCCTGTGGCGTCTGGCTGGACGCGGCGGCGTTGAAGAGGCGGAAAGTGCAGGTGGGACGCTGGGGGATGAGAGGGCGTCGGGGGACCGGCAGGGCCTGGAGGCGTAAGACGGGAGGAGTGTGGGGGACACCTGGAGGTGATGGAGGCGAAGTCGGGGACGGAGAAGGGAACACAGTGTTGGGGATTCACAGGCGAGAGGGAAGAAGGTTGAAAACTGGGGTTCGGGGAGCGTTAGAGACAAGCTGCCTCGGAACACCCCGTCCGCGCCAGCCGACTCCCCTCACTGACGGCTCTGCAGCTGCGGTCCCGAACGCCGATCTCGGGTGCTGCGATGAAGCAAAGCCTGATTACGGCCATCTGGGCGGCTCGGGGGAGGGCAGGGAAGACAGGTGTTTGTTATCCGTACTTGTAAATTCCTGTTTTACACATGCCTGTAAAATCCGGTGTTTTTTTTTGTTTTTGTTTTTTTAAACTGCCTCCACAAAAGTCACAGGATAAAGTATTGCATGTCTGTCACAAGGTGACAAACTGTCACTGTGCCTGTTACAAGCTGATAGATTATCTCAGTCCTGAAACTCCCCTAGGCCCCTCTCACCCCATATAAACCCCTCGTTCGATTGTTACGGGGTTAACTGAACTTGCTGGCCTGACTTTGGGTCTCTTCCTTGTCTCGGCTGACCTTCCAGGGAGGGGTGGGGGGGGCGGAAGGAAGCGCGTGCCGGGGCGGGGCGGGGAGGAGCGGGGCGTGGCCGGCGGCGGGGTTCCGGTGTGGGAGGGGCGGAGGGAAAGCTCGCCCTGAGCAGTCTAACTGAGCAGGCTCCCTAGGAGCCCGGAGTCCCTGCACGACGTCCTAGCAGAGGCTGGAGGATTGGGAGATAGATGCGAAGGCAGATTTGGGAAATTCTCACCCCAGGGTCTGTTTCCACCCAATTTGCCAGGTTGCGGGCCATCTACCTGCCCAGAACCGGTAACTTTGAGGGGAAAAGTAGAAGCTCTGGGAAGCGGAGCTGGCCTCCTATCTACTGAGCAATCACTGGGTGCCGGATACTGCCTTAGATACTGAATATGGGTTATAGGTATCCTCTTTCTTGTGGAAATGAGGAAACTGAGGTTGAGTAACTAACTTAGGCCTGCCCAACTAGGAGGAGCTGGCAGTCACAGTCAGGTCTGTCACCTAGGCAGGATGCTCTTCAGTCATTATAAAGAAACAAGTGTGAGATAATAATCGTTCCTGTTTATTGAGCATTTTATGCTGGTGCTAAGTATTTTAGATACGTTATCTTGTTTGGTACAATTCTATGTAGTAGATAGTGTAAGGATATCCATTTTATACACAGAAAACAGGCTCAAAACAGACACCAGGGGCAGGATTCTTGCTCTCAAGTTGCTCACAGTCTTATAGGGAAGAAAAGAGGTATATAAATAATAAAAATACCCAATCTTTATTGAGTGCTTTCTAAGTGTCAGGCACTTTGCTGGGACTTTATATACCTTATCAATGGCAGGTACTCACCAAAATTCAATAAAATAGATTTTGTGATTATCCTGGTTTTATAAATGAAAAATTTGATTGTTTTATTTTTTTAAAAATGATCAGGCTGGGCACCGTGGCTTACTGTAATCCCAGCACTTTGGAAGACCGAGACAGGTGGATCACGAGGTCAGGTGTTCGAGACCAGCCTGGCCAATATGGTGAAACCCTGTCTCTATTAAAAATACAAAAATTAGCTGGGCATGGTGGTGGGTGCCTGTAGTCCCAGCTACTTGGGAGGCTGAGGCAGAAGAATCGCTTGAACCCGGGAGGCAGAGGTTGCAGTAAGCTGAGATCATGTCACTGTACTCCAGCCTGTGTGACAGAGCAAGACTTCGTCTCAAAAAAAAAAAACCACAAAAAACCAAAATGTGCAATGGCTATTTATTACTCCTTGAATTAGGAATAAGCCGTTTATACCCCCCTTAGAATACTCTTTTTCTTTTTTTTTTTTGGGAGATGGAGTCTTGCTCTGTCGCCAAGGCTGGAATGCAATGGAGTGATCTTGGCTTACTGCAACCTCTGCCTCCCAGGTTCAAGTGATTCTCTTGCCTCAGTCTCCTGAGTAGTTGAGATTACAGTCATCTGCTACCACACACAGCTAATTTTTTTTTTTTTTTTTTGAGACGGAGTTTTGCTCTTGTTACCCAGGCTGGAGTGCAATGGGGCGATCTCGGCTCAACGCAACCTCCGCCTCCTGGGTTCAGGCAATTCTCCTGCCTCAGCCTCCTGAGTAGCTGGGATTACAGGCACACGCCACCATGCCCAGCTAATTTTTTGTATTTTTAGTAGAGACGGGGTTTCACCATGTTGACCAGGATGGTCTTGATCTCTCGACCTCGTGATCCACCCGCCTTGGCCTCCCAAAGTGCTGGGATTACAAGCCTGAGCCACCGCGCCCGGCCAAACAGCTAATTTTTATAGTTTTAGTAGAGACGGGGTTTCACCATGTTGGCCAGGCTGGTCTCGAACTCCTGACCTTGTGATCCACCCACCTCGGCCTCCCAAAGTGCTGGGATTATGAGCGTGAGCCACCGCGCCCAGCCAGAATACATTCTTGAATGACATGGGATGGGTAGGAAACTTGTATACCACTTGGATTTATTAATTAATTTTTTTTTTTTTTGAGACGGAGTTTCGCTCTTGTTACCCAGGCTGGAGTGCAATGGCGCGATCTCGGCTCACCGCAACCTCCGCCTCCTGGGTTCAGGCAATTCTCCTGCCTCAGCCTCCTGAGTAGCTGGGATTGCAGGCATGTGCCACCATACCCAGCTAATTTTTTGTATTTTTAGTAGAGACGGGGTTTCACCATGTTGACCAGGATGGTCTCGATCTCTCGACCTCGTGATCCACCCGCCTCGGCCTCCCAAAGTGCTGGGATTACAAGCTTGAGCCACCGCGCCCGGCCTAATTAATTTTTGAGACAGGGTCTCACTCCGTCACCCAGGCTGGAGTGCAGTGACGTAATCACGACTAACTGCAGCCTCAACAGCCCCGGGCAGTTGAGGTGATCCTCCTGCCTTAGCCTCCTGAGTAGCTGGGACTACAGGCATAGTTCCACAGCTCATTTTTTTGTAGAGATAGGCTTTCACTGTGTTGCCCAGGCTGGTCTTGAACTCCTGAGCTCAAGTGATCTGCCCACTGTGGCCTCCCAAAGTGCTGGGATTACCAGTGTGAACTATCACACCTGGCCTCCAATTTAATTTAGAAAGAAGACAGAAATAGAACTAGAAAGAGTTCAGGAGAGAAAGAAAGGGAATATCCCACAGGGAAGAGGAGAGCCAATATTTGTCTGTTTTTTTTTTTTTTTTTTTTTTTTTTTTTTTTTTTTGAGATAGTCTTGCTCTGTCACTCAAGCCGGAGTGGTGCAATGGCATGATCTCAGGTCACTGCAGCCTCCACCTCCCAAATTCAAGTGATTCTCTGCTTTAGCCTTCCGAGTAGCTGGGATTATGGGCATGTGTCACCACAACTGGCTAATTTTTGTATTTTTAGTAGAGACAGGATTTTACCGTGTTGGCCAAGCTGGTCTAGAACTCCTGGCCTCAGGTGATCCATCCAGCTCAGACTCCCAAAGTGCTAGGATTACAGGCATGAGCCACCACGCCTGGCCTGTCTATAACTCTTATACCCCAAATCATACGTTTTCCTTGGCAGTGTTGCGGTGAAAACATTTGTCCTGTTGATGTAGTGTATGGCAGGTATAGAATCTTCCAGGGTCTCTAGGCCCTTACCTTACTCTGATTTCTGGAGGCCTGGACCTTATGACCATGCTCACTAACACCATTTCTCCTTCTTGTTACTTGATTCCCAAAGATACTTGTTAAAAACTTTGGTTCCTGACTGTTATCTATTGCTCTGATTTCCAACCCAGAGAAGAGTACTAAAGATTCCTTTTCACAAGGTGCCTCTTCCTAGAGTGGCTATCAAATAGGCACAACAGTACTTTGAGATTTAATGTCAGGGATAGATGCAGCTGTGTTTTTGGAAACATGCTTCTTCCCACTTGATCTCTAAACAGCACTTTGGGAAGCTGAGACAGGAGGATCACTTGAGGCCAGGAATTTGAGACCACCCTGGGCAACATAGTGAGAGCCCAACTCTACAAAAAATAAAAAATGTTTATCATGGGTGAAGAAGTGTGGGAATTTTAATGTATGTCTACAAATTCTTCAGTACTTTTCCTTTTAAAAGATAGAACTTAATTCCTCTTTCTTTGAGCATAGGCAGTATTTCATGACTCCAATGAATAGAATGTGGTAGGTTAGTGTTAGAATCTGAGTCTAAGCCTGGCCAACATGGTAAACCCCATCTCTACTAAAAACAAAAATTAGCCAGGCTTGGGTGGTGGGTGCCTGTAATCCCTGGCTACGCAGGAGGGTGAGGCAGGAGAATTGCTTGAAGTTGGAGAGTGGAGGTTGCAGTGAGCCAAGGTTGTGCCATTTCACTCCAGACTGGGTGACCAGTCTGGAAGTCCAGAAGGACCTTTATTATTAAAATAATCATTTTGAATCCTGCTCTGTCCCCTGCCCTCTTCCAGCCCCACCCATCCCTGGTCTTGAAAAAAGGACTAATCAGTGGGCACGTCAAGGGCCCAGAGGGCAGGGAGATGCCACCGTGCTTCTCTGTCACTGTAAGAAGGCTGACCAGCCATGTCTGCCTCCTCCATTTGAGTGAGTTCCTTCCTGTGCTCACAGGGAGGGGCTGGTCCTTCCCCTCGGTGCCGGCTCTCTGTTACAATGCCTCAAAAGACACGGAACACAGGCCTACAACCGTCCCAACTGCTAATTCTTTTCCTTTCATTTTGCTTTCTAAAAGCAGTTTGTTATACTATTCATAACATCGTAGAGTTTAATTTCATGTCATTTTGGATCTTATATAAAAATGTGAGGATTTGGATTTTTAAAAAGAACGACTCCATTTCAGGTAGCCACTTTTGATGTTAACATATAGTGAGTCCAATGTATGGTTTAGTAGTAAAGACATTGACCGTCACAGACCAAAAAAAAAAAAAAAAGAA